CTTTCTCTGTGGGGTTATGATTTGTAAGGGGCTCTGAATTGTTGGCGTACACTACATTTTGAGATTATTAATAGGTTGTTTCAGCATTTTTCAGCATTCTTCAGAATCTTCCTAAAGACACAAACAAGGAAAAGAAGATGATCCATCCATTACCATACTGGAGTTAAATATTATAAAACCACAAACAGAGCAGAACAAGTTATGACAAACTGCAAACTATCTTTTAGCATGAAACTTAATGAATCAGAGAGTAGTTCAAGTATGAATGAATCTTGTGTTAATGGGAATAGTTGTGCCAAGAGTCGACTACAGGCTAGATTCCTTACTGTAGATTCAGAGTCAGCAAACTGCAATGCCATTTAAACTATTTGTAAAATTGGTGTGAAAGGCAAAGGCACTTTAAAATACAGACAAAGCAAGCAGATGTCAAGCAGTGAGGTCTTAGGAGGAAAGATATTAAATCGATACACTTTAGCAAGTCCTGCTTAGGCCTGACTTGCTGGGACATCTGTAAAAATGTACGAGGCCTGAGTGCAGATGACACCATTCTACCTCTTCTAGACATAGAGCTCATGCTGTGCTGGCTTTAAGTGACATAGGCTTGAAAAGCTCAGGAAATTAATAAAAACAGCTACTCACAGGGCAATGACAGGCATTGTTTTCCCCTCATGAAGGTTAAAAGAGGCATGGTTACCCCATTCTCACAATTTTAGGAGAACTGATTGCACAAACTTTTAGGACATCCATATGCTATTATTTGAAATAATTCTTGTTATTGACCTGATCTACTTGTGCTAGCATCCCTCAACAGCGTCTGCTGTTTGCCTGGTCTGATGGGGCTTAGTTAATGACTGTCTTGACACATCTGCTAAGTGTAATACCGTCTAAATATTCACCTGTTTAAGAGCTGAACATAGGCTGGGAGGGAATCAGGTGCATACAACGGGCATAAGGCTATTGATTCCCTCATAAATCTCCTCTGCTGAGCAGAGCTTAAATAAATGGCAAAACACAATTTGGTAAGCCAAACTGAAAGATCGGACAGAGTAGAAAAATCCTTCTTTTTAACAAAAGAACTATGCAGTAAACTGGACAGTAAAAACCTTCATCTACAGCAATGGGGAAAGAACCCACAATAGTTTCTGCATTGTAACACTTCCTGTTAAGCAACGATTTGCCAATAACTTGGCCAAGACATTTTAGCAAGGTAATCCGTAAAAACTTCCTCTTCAAGTGTCATATACTAGTCTATCCTTCTTAACCACAATTTTCTTATCACACAAAATGCAAGAAGCAACAGCAGCACTTAACGAACAAACGGGTATTTGCTGATCACAGTCAGCACTTTCTTGTGAAATACCAAGGGCCCAAGAAATATCCAAGCCCAAGTTCAGCTGGAGATGTCAAAAGTGCCTGGGGATACTCCTGCAAGTGCCATGCACAATTTTAATGTAAAAAACTGAGGGTCTGCATGCAGGTGTGTGTGCACGTAACTGTTTTCACTCTCTTATCCCCTCCTCCCCCTCAACCTACATATCCTGCAAATACACAAACTTTTTTCCCTAGAAAGTTTTTATGCGTCCATGGGCCAGTCTCTAATGGATCTACTTTAACAGAATCCAGAAGGTGGTGCATAAAGAAAAGCGAAAAGCACCCAAAAAGATCCTATAAATTTGGTAGTGTGATTTTTTTAAGGGTTTTGATAGTCTGCAGCACACTACTGCTACTAACAAGTCAGCAGTTTGTTTCACAGTCTCACACTCAAAATAATTATCTCAGCTTCTGTCTGTCACTTTTCAGCTTCAGTGTCATTACAACTAAGGTGTGAGTCACACCTGCAAGCATCCTGTTTGTGTATTAGAATTAAGAGTGCTTGCCTGCAGAATGGGACAACGTGTTGGACTCTTAGAAGAAATGAACAGAGCCATGTAGCAATGCGAGCCTTCAAAGAGGTATTCTTTGCTGATGAGTGTGCAGCAGTAGCTGGAAGATAAAACTTCCAAATAATGTCTTTACTCCATTACAATGGACGTGCTCAGGAGTGGGAGAGGTAGGGAAATATATTTAAATGTAATAGGCTATAAATAACAGGTTGTGTGTGATGATGCAGGAGCTGTCTTGGGAACCTAGCATAGGTCTGTGCACTGTCAGTTTGGCTTATTCCTGTATACTGATCCCATGGTAGTTTTTGAAGTTTAGCACATGCCACTACTATGTTACTGTCAGTCTCTCTTCTGGAACAAGCCATCTCATCCGGAATGAGCCAAGATCACAAGAGAAGATCGGAGCCCAGCTAACAGGGTAGCCTACTTTACACAAACAATATGGGGGCTGACTGCCAAGTTCAGCTGCCTTCAAAAGTCTGGCTATTAGAGAAGCTCAGAAATGATCAGGAACTTCAGGAAGGCTTCAGGTTGCAGACTTCCATTCACAATGTCCCCACTGTCTGGGGCATTGTGAATGGAAGAGGAAGACAGAAAATAAGAAGTATGTCTTGGACAACATGTAGGGCCCACGAAGAGATCTCAGCCAAGTGCTTTTCCATACGGACTTGACCAGTCTACATCAGGGGAGCTAAGGAAGAGCTGTGCTCAGAAAGAATAAAGAAGCAGATAGGCTACTCTAGGGACTGATTGCCCATCCTGAAACAAAGGCACAATTAGTAAAAAGTGACATTTAATAGAATTCAAGTGTCACTGCAGACTAATACAAAGCTGGTAGGGAAGAGAATGACTAAGCAAAGAAGGACAGAAAGAAATACTGAGGGGAGTCAGTCTATTACGAAAGATGTCCTGCACTGTTCAGTGCTGAACCCTTCCTCCTATATATTCGTTTCTTTAACACAGTTACTGGAGTGAGGCAAGAAATCTGGGTATCACTGGAAAAGAATGTCATGAGTTATATGACTGAAGCAGTTTGCAAAAGTTGATTCTGATATAGCTTATTCTGGGTATGTGAAAAAAAATACTAAGATGGCTTAGAGCTTTAATTTTCTGAGGTCCAAAAGAATCTTCTCTTGCTATCCACCAGAGTTTCAAGCACCTACCTGTGTAATCCTTACATTTACAGCCATCGTACAAGCTCTGCAAATACTACTTGGCTTACAGGAAGCTGTCTGGGTCAGATGCATTCTGCTTGAGTAGTATTCTGACAGTGTTCATAGTGTTAATATTTCTCATTAATTCAACCCTTGTGCTCAAGCTTTGCCCATAATCTTTAATCCAAAGGTCCAGTATGTGTCATTCGTCTATTTTACAAACAAAGCACGAGAGGCCTGCAAAGCAACTTAGACAGAGCTGGGAATAAACACTGGAAGCTGATGCAACAGATGCAACTTGTTCTCCTTGCCATACTATCTTCCAGAATAAATGGACTGTGTCCGTTTTCTGGAACATGCTGTTTATAACTATACTATCATATCATCAAATAACAAAAACAATTATGCCATTGACATGCAGGACGATGATCTCTAGCACACTATTGCTGTGACACAAAAAAAGGTGAAACACATGGCCAAATAAGATCCAGCAGCTATTTGGTGAATAATCACTGACTTTTTTTTTTTCTCTTTCGACAGTAACTTATCTTTCTATCAGAGAGAAACAGTTTGCTGGACAGGCTGAAATCTTCAAGCAAAATTATTCTGAAAATTGTTAGTGCATCATTTAAGAGAATTTAAAAGTATGCATAGGAGAGCATAGCTTAACGTCTGAAACCTATAAAGTTTGGACTTAACATTTTAAAATAAAATTCTAAGAAATTTCAAATTTAAGAATTAAAGTCTTATGATTTTAAAATCACAGTTGGGTTTTGCATGTAATAAAACTATGGTCCTTCTTAAGATTAAATATTCTTAATGAAAACAGATGCAAAGCAGCAGTCTGAATTATACTCAGTTAAAAACTGTTTCTTCTAATAACACCTTTTCATAGGAAATATGAATAAAATATGTTTGTATATGAAATGAGGTGAGCAAGTTCCAATTCTAAAATTTCCAAATATGGTCCAAACCTGAAAATAGAACAATTTGGGCTGCTGAATACTTGAGCCCAGCCATTTAAAACTCTGCATTTGAGAAGGCATATAGCTGTGGCCTGTCCAGCATAATGGGTATCACTCAGAGGCATCCTTAAGACTGTGCACTGAGTACACCAAATTTTACAAGTCGTTTCCTAAAAGTGTCAGAATTAGTCTCTCTCTTTCTTAACAGAAAGTGGAGCCACCTGCAAAGCATAAGCAAAAATCATTTTCCTTGAAATTAAGTGAAAGATTTTTGTGCACAAATTGGCATTGCAGTTGCACGTTCAGAGATATCCTGTCAAAAAAATAGTAGCGTACCAGCTGAAAATAATTATAGCCATTTTATCACAAGTCACAAATGTACTTCCTATCATCTCTGTAGCGTGTCATGCAAATATGACATGGAGTGCTTGTCTATCTAATGCAAAATAGTAATTATGTGATAAATGAAAAATTGGTTCTTTACTTTTGGCCTGATTACATCTGGGGCAGAGGCAATAGCTTGCACATTTTTTGCAATTACTACAATATAGCAGTGAAAAAAAGCAATTCCAGGAAAACAATGGATTCAGTGAATTAATGTAAAGAAAAAGTCTCTGTAAATATTGCTCGGGAAGTATTCCAAATTAAAAATAATGTTGTGCAAGGAATTATGCTATTTCTATAATTTCATTGTTATAACAGAAAGAAAAGCAAATAAATGTTGACATTCTTATAAATTTAAATGTATTAAGAAACTGTTAACAAGTGGCCAGACTATTAGGGATAAATATTGTCCAAGCTTCAGCTGTTAAGTTGCAAGAAAATGAGATCAGGATTGGGTGACTGAGAAAGTGAACAATGAATCGTCAGGCACTGTCGGTCAGATAAAGCCTGGGGAGCAAAGATGGCTATTCAAGCTCCACCCCCACAGGAAATATTGCAAAGAGGCAACTTTATACCTAGACTTTTAAAGAAGTGATATGCACCAGTCATTCCTTGAGTTGACAGAAGTAGAGGAGGCCATTCAGAGGAAAACTCCAGAAGCTGCTTATACAGGACATATTGATCAGATATGGGCCAAGGTGAGCAAGGGGGAAGCCCCTTCTGTGGTGCTCTGCTATTTTCTGACATCCATACCTTGTATTCAGCTCTGTAGTGGACACTGAAAGATCACTACTTCTCTAAGGAGTTTTGATCCAAGAGAAAAAGGAAGAGAAAATTCTTCCATCAAGAGTTAGGAGGATGATTTTCACAGGAACTGCATTTTTTCACTTATTATGTGCATGTGGAAATCAAGCTCATCAGAATGAGATTTCAGAGAACGGGTATATTATCTGATGTAAAAATGTTGTATTTTGCAGATGGGAAGGAAAGGAAAGCGTGCAGCTATTCAAAGCTGTCAGACAGGTGCAAATAAGAAAGTGACAAATCTGACATATGAGAAAGAAGCAAAGCAGAACTTATAGAAGGTATCATTGCAAAAGGTGAGGGAGGCTACAATGAGCAGAGAAGATTGAAACCCGAAGTTAAGGCAGAGAGGATACAAAAATTGAGGGGATTTTTCTTTTTGGTGGTTTGTTTGTTGCAGTGGTGGGCTTTTTTGCTTGCATGCTAATATTTATAGATATGCAAATTGACCAGTTTAATAATTAATATAAATTGTCCCGTGTTGCTTTTCCAACCGTGACAGATAACTCCTGCCTTTCTAAAGACAAATCTCCCCCATCCCTCAGCTTCTTCTACAATAGAATTGCTTAATTGCTAAGTTTCTGAAGATTTTTTTTAAAGTAGGTACATTCCTGAAAAAATCAACGTGCGTGCTTCTTGCCTAGATACCATAAAAAAAATGTATTCCTCCAATTTGAACTGTGACTGCATTGCTAAGATTATTAATGTAGTTATTTCAAGGCTTGCCTAAACTTGGTGAACTTAAGATGATGCTGTAAAAAAAAAATCTTTAAACTAATAAGTCCCGTTGAACATGGGATAATGATTTTTTACTCAATAATGGCACAGGGTAGCTGTGTTCCACTACTAAGGACCACACTCTTACTCTTTCCTAGTCTACCTCTTTGGGGCAGAGGGGGAAATGGAGAATAATAAAAACACTTTTAAAAAGCACACAGTACCCTTAGGAGAAAAAAAAACAACTTTTACTTCTGTACATCCCCACTTCATTTAAACCATCGAGCTGTCTTCTACTAGAGAACCCTCCATAGGCTCTGATTATGTCAAAGCCAAACCAATCTCAGGTGCTTGTTCTTTGGCCTCTAATAGAAGCCATAGTTCACATGTAAGAGCTTTCTGCAACACACTGCTTCACATGCATTATTTTAGTAATGTTCTCTCTTCAATTTTACCATCTCTCCCACTGCCAAATGACAGCTCCGTGTCCATCAACATATTCTTGTTAGGTGCTTTCAACAGATAGCGGCTGTCAGTTATATCAGAGGTATACTACACGTAAATGGGGCTAGAGATCACATGTCATGGTTTAAAATGCAGAGGTGTTTCTCAGCTCAGTCAGGTTTATTTCTTATTCAGAGGCAGCAAGGCTGTGCCTCTGTTAGTATAACACCACATCGTGGAATGAACGACACTGAAATAATTAGCTGAGTTCAGCCAGATTCTTTATCCAAGTAACTCACAAGGATTCACTTCTCCCAGGATTCTCTCCTCTTAGATGCCTTTCTGAACTTTCTTTAGTACCAGATATACTACTTCCTCTATATTTAATTATGCAGATAATCTCTAATAGTCTATGCAAGGTAGAGTGTCTCTCTCAAAAAAAAAATGCTCAGAAATAAATTCTTTCTATTTTTGGTGGAAACTTCACGTGGGTACTAGTTACCTGCAGAAAGTAACATGCATTTTTTGAGAGTGTGTCTGTGCTGCTTCGTCCTTGGATGCACCCTCAAGTTTTCTTGCTCTTCTCACTTTTTCATAGCTGCAACGCAGCCAAGTACCAACTGGCACTTGAAAGAAAATGGAAGAGATCACCACACAAGTAAATTTTCTAGCAAAGAGTTGATTGTGAGGAGAGGACAGGCCTTCATTGTCACCTTCAATGGAATAGAACAGCCTGAGCAAAACTTAACATTCATCGCAGAAACAGGTATGGCTCCCAACATCTTTCACAGAAAGAGTAATGCTGCCTCATGACGTTCTTTTGGCCTGATATGCACTATAGGGCAGCAAGAGAATACCTTGGAGCCAATATGGCTAGTTCACACAGCCCTGGAACTGTTTGTTGTATTACTCCCAGCTTAGCTAGCAGCAATAGCTTCCTTCAATTTCCAACGTATGGCACAAATTCATCTAAGGGGAGGGTTACATCTCTGCTGAGTTTGTTGACAACTAAATCTCCATTTCAGCAAGCTAAGGAAAAAAAAATGTTGTTTATTTTCCTTAAAAGGTCCAAAACCCTCAAAGCTGGCTAAGACCCAGGCCACATTCAGTATCTCCACCACAGTGAGCAAGGACAGCTGGAGTGCAGTTCTGCAGTCTACTAGTTCCAACTCTGTGAGCATCTCCATTTCCAGCCCACCTAATGCTGTCATTGGACGTTACAAGCTGAGTGTTCAAAGTACTTCAAGTGGCAGCTCCTCTCCAGCAAGCCTTGGCACTTTTGTTTTGCTCTTTAACCCTTGGTCTTCAGGTATGAACATGCCGACTTTCCCCTGAAAGAACTAAGTTGCTTGTAGCTTCAATAGTATTTGCAGCTTCGATACTTGATCTATACTTCTTTAATACGGGGACTGAACATTCATCACATAATGTACCAGTGAGAAAAGAAAAGGGTTTAACAGTTTCTTAGGACCTTCTGGTACATAAAATCAGCTCTGTATCATGTACTTACTGGACAGGTCCTTGCCCTAAGAGATTAAGTTCTGCTTAAGCAGATGAAGTTCTGCTTTTGCCAGAGCTTCCCTACTTCTGCACAAGTTTAGAAGAGTATGTCTTGTCTCTGTAGAACCACGAAGAAACACATCGACCAGCTGCCATCTTCTCCCTGATTTGTCAGTATCATACCTCTGTCTTCACCCAGACACTCCCCACCCCTTTCTCTAATTATAGGAAATCCTGAGTTTCATGATCTGTTTATAATCGCAATAACAGCAAAGGGTGGATGTCAGGAAGCATTCTTATTGATGGAGACCAAGGCTCTTGAGGTTTTGTTTTATTTTGCCTGCTGTGGTTGTACATACCTTTGTTTTGGCTTTTCAGGTGATGATGTGTTCATGCCTAACAAGGCTGAGTGTGAGGAATATGTGCTAGAAGAATTTGGCATCATTTTTGCGGGCAATAAAAATCATATCAACAGCTTTGGATGGAACTTTGGCCAGGTAAATGCAGCACTGAAACACCAGACAGTGTTTCATGCTCTGGTTTTCACATGAACTGGTCACCAGGGCTTGTTTGCTTTTTCCAGCTCATTGCCATCGTACACCTCTGAAGAGCAGGAGTCTGGTATTGAAATCATAACTCGTGCCAAGCTCTGTTATACTGATTAATATGGGGATTTGTAATTGACTAGTAAGTGATATGACCTAGGACTCGGAGGTACAGCCAGCAGAAACCTTAGTGTCTGCTGGGTAGTAAAGTACTGTAGCAATGCTGAGAGGCAAAGTCATGGTCTCAAGTCCACAGATTCCAAGTTTTGAAAAGTTCTTTGAGTTCTAATCTTCACAATTTGTTGAGGCCACATTTTTATATGGTAATTCCTGGCTGAGCTGCAGCAATTCACTTGGTGATTAAAAAAAACATTAAACACTTCCATGTGTCTTCTTATTCTGATTTTTAGTAATCTGTGTTTCCAAAACACTAACATTTCTGTAACTTAGTTCCAAGGAGATATTCTCAATATTTGCCTCTCCATGATGGATCGAAGCTTAAACTATCGTCAGGATCCTGCCACAGATCTGTCTCACCGAAATGACCCCAAATATCTGGGCCGTGTTCTCAGTGCAATGGTAAGCAACATGTTCAAAAAGTCCAAACTACTAACTGTTCTTTTCAAGTAGTTAGTGCAAGTAAGTATGAAGTCGCTTCCCAGAAAATTTTAGGCCACTCTTCGTGTGCACGAGAAATGTGGGCCAGAAAAACACCTAGGTGGCCATCCAATCTGAGCCTGCTAGATTTATCTCATCTGTGGTATTTCTTATACTTATCACTTTAACATCCAGCAGTCAAACTGAATGTAAAAGACACGAGGTGGTATGTTGAGGGACCAGTCCCTTGAAGGTCTTTAGTCCAACCTCCCATTTCAAGTGGAGCTACAGTGGTACTAGATCAGCTCAGCCATGGATCTGTCAGGCTGCCTTGAAAATCTCCAAGAATAGAGGTTTCCTGGCCTCTCTGGGTGACCGGTCCAGAGTTGCACTACAATCATAGTGAGGAATTTTTCCCTTATGTCAGATATGATTTTCCCAAGCTGCAACTTTCAGTTGTTGCTTCTTGTTATACAACCTGCCAGAACAGAGAAAAGCTGGGCTCTGACAGTTGTGTTCCATTCAAGTAGTTGTAAGCTTCTATTACATTCCCCTTATCCCCTTCTTAACCAGACTGAACTGTCACAGTGTTCTCAACTTCTCCTTGTAGATTGTATGCTCCAGAGCCCCCGATCTTCTTGGTAGCCCTCCCTCCTGGGCCCTCTTCAGTGTCGCAACATCCCCTTAAACTAAGGGACCCGAAACTGGAGACAGGAGTTCTGGCACAACCTCGTCAGGGACAACTGAAGGGGGTTAACAGCTTCCCTCAATCTCCTGGTCACACTTTTCCCAATGTAGCCTAGCATGGGCTTTTGCTTTACAATTATAGAGCACTGTTGGCTCAAATTCAATCTGGCATTTGCTGTAAACTCCCAGGCCCCTTTCAGGCAGTCTGCCACTCAGCCAGCTGCTTCACAGCCTGTACCAGTGCATGGGGTTATTCTACCCTAAGTTCTGAAATCTACACCTTTTCTTCCCGAACTGCATGAGGTTTCTATTGACACAGTACCCAAGATTTTCAAGGTGACTGTGCCCCGTTCGTCGTGTCACCCACTTCCCCTAAGCTGATGTAAATTTGCTAAGGGCTTACTACATCATGATCCAGGCACATTCTGAAAGCTTAGCTGCATGATGTGCTTTGATGATGCCATTCAATCATACAATGGTAAAGCTGCCACCTCATGTCAGGAAGGTTCACTGAAAACTGATGTTTGCCTTCTTGCCTGGTGCTACTGTACTTGGGTGGGAGAAACAGTGATTAAATGCTCTCCATTTCTTGAGGGGACACAAATTTCATTTCCCTGAAAAGATAAGGCTTCTTCCTGAAGGCCAGCTGTATGAAGCAGTGACTTTTGTCCACTAAAATGTCGCTCCCCTACCACTACTACATTTGTTGTAAACTCTTAATTTATCTTATCATAAATTTAGTGAATACTTTTACAGGTCAACGCCAATGATGACCAAGGGGTACTGCTAGGAAACTGGAGCGGAAATTATGAGGGTGGGAAAAGTCCAAGCAGCTGGACTGGAAGTGGTGAAATCCTGCAAAACTGGAAGAAATCAGGATTCAAACCTGTTAGATATGGACAATGTTGGGTTTTTGCAGCAGTATTGACTACAGGTATGTTTTATGTCATGCACATAACTGGCTCTGCACAGATTCTGTGAAAAGAAGCACTAATAATACTTCCTACATGGAAGTGTTTCAAGACATTAGTATGTTATATGAAACTTCATATTCCAGAAATACTGCTTTCTGACTATGGTTTTCTGTTCGCTCTTTAGTGCTTAGATGTCTGGGGATTCCCACTCGTACAATTACAAACTTCAGCTCTGCCCACGATGCAGATGGAAATCTGCGTGTGGATGAGTTTTACGATGCTTCTGGAAATCATTTGGACAGGGCAGCTGACAGCATATGGTAAGGCTCTACAATACTTAATAGTAGGATCGATCAACGCTTATAGAGTCTTCAGGTGCAGAGTATAGATTCTAATGACAAATGCTTTGCTACCTTCTTAAAAATTGCCTTAAAACAACTACACAGAGAGGATCCGTTAAAAAAATACTACAAAATAATACTACAAATCTTGGTGTTTTCACTCTTTCTCAATTAGAGAATTGTGACATGAGTTACAACAGCTAGTTGAAGCCAGGGCAGGCAAAGTTGCAGTTATGATGCCACAGAAGACCGAAAATTTGGAATATGACATGGGCAATATCAAACAGTAAGACTTGACTTAGTTTGGAACTATTCTTCAAAAATAGTTCTTGTTAAACTGTAAAAGTTCAACAGAACCAGTTTCCCTGCCCTTTTTTTTTTTTTGCAGTTACATCATTTGCAGTGAAAATAATTTAATTATTGTCACTATTAAGCATCAAATGCAATTCAAACAAGCTTGCATTCAGCAAAAACCAGGTTCAGTCACTCACTTTTTGCTTGTTTACTCCCCTGCTTGTTCTGGACCCATTTCAAATGTAAGTGATAAGTATAACTGTAGCATAGTGCTGTAAGTAAACAGCTAAAACTAAGGAAGACATTTTGTATCATTTTATAAATTTGTTTTCTTCCCTTAAACATTTATGTCTGTTCCACAATGCAATTTTTGCCTCCTATCTAATTAATATCATCAGGATCAGAGCGAAAGTGGTCAGTCTCAGATAAGAACCTATGCAAATTAAGGCATTTAATACATGTAACTAAGATGGCTTAGTGGATGTGAACAGGAATTTGGAAACACATACTAGTAGCTTACTTTGTTCATTTTTGCACATAGGAATTTTCATGTCTGGAATGAGAGCTGGTTTTCCCGCAGTGACTTGGGCCCCTCATACAGTGGGTGGCAAGTTCTGGATGCAACTCCCCAAGAAGAAAGTGAAGGTACGCAGATTTTACTTCAGGAATAATGTTGAAAAATTATCAAGTCAGTCACTTTCAGAGAGAAGGGGAAAAAAAAAAGTAAAACCATTGTAAAAGTAATTTCTCATCCTGCTCAGAAATAGAGTGGCAGAGCAGAATATCTTTCACGTTAAAAAAAACTCAGATAAGCTGTGGATACCAAGAAACACACTAGACTTCCAGGAGCATTCTTTCGCAGCAATTCCTATGTTTCCAATGTAGGTATGCAGAGCTATTGAAAATCAAGGGATACTATAAAATAAATCAAGTCTAACTTCAGAATAAACACAAGATACATTGATGAGTGGCCTGGTATGAGGTCTATGTAGATGAAAGGGCTAGAAAGGAACTACAGCACTGGGCAATTCAGGAGTCATTGATAAATATCTGTCTAGTAATATGCTTACTGTCAAAGAGCTGATTAGGTCTAAATTATTTTTTCTTGATGCTGTAGGAATTTATCAGTGTGGTCCTGCCTCACGCTACGCCATCAAAGAAGGGGATGTAGATCTGGACTATGATTGCCCATTCGTATTTGCAGAAGTGAATGCAGACTGTATGTACTGGAATTATGACCCTGCAACTGGAAAGAAAACATTAATGTTCTCGCAGTCTACCGTAATTGGCCAATTCATGAGCACAAAGGCAGTTGGTAGAGATGATCGCGTAGATGTCACCAATGATTACAAATATGAAGAAGGTAAGTAAAAATACTGTTTTTTCTGGTTCCATAGATGCTTCATTCCCAAATGTATATAAACTTCCAGATAGGAGTCTCTTAGTGGGCCATTTTGGGCATCTCTAAGGTTGGAGTAAAACTTATACTTGGTTTATTCGGTTCTAACAGAAAAGGGAAGAGAAGGTAAAGTGTAAAAAAAACTGCCTTGCCCTTTCTGATATGGAGCTGCTTTGTGGGACTTAAATAAAGCAAGTCCAAATATCTCTGTGTAAAGCATTCACTGTTCTTCCTGCCTATTTCTAGTGTGTACTGACTGCCTCTGCTTTGTGAGAATTAGTCTATGGCACAGTTAATTGACAGCTGGATAAAAAGCCTATTACAGAAACCTAAGCCAAATAAATGCGTAGGTGCAAGAAAAGCAACTCTCTGAAAAGGTCAAACAGCACATAAACTTGTCAGACCTTTGGGTTTGATAGTGCAGAAAACAAAAGACAATCATGAATAGAATTTGCAAGTGCAAAGAATGAACAGTGCTGTTGGAAATATATATCAGAAGGGTGAAAAGCGTGATAAAGTAGAGTCCAAATAACTAGCTTCCATTGTGTACTGGATCTGGCTGGGATGGAGTTAACTTTCTTCATAGCTGCCCCGCTAAAAGTGTTGATAACACACCAGTGTTTTGGCTATTGCTGAACAGTACTTGCAGAGTGTCAAGGCATTCTCTCTCCCTCCCCACTCCCTCCCTGCCACAGTGAGTAGGCTGTAGGTGGGCGAGAGGCTGGGAGGGAACCCAGACAGCACAGCTGACCCAAACTGACCAAAGTTATCTTCCACGCCATATGACTTGGTGCCTAGCAATAAAAGCTCAGCAAAAGGCGGAGGAAAGGGGCTGGGGGGCATCCGTGGTTATGGCATTGGTTAGCCAAGAAACCATTATGTGTGTTGAGGCCCTGCTTTCCAGGAAGTGGCTGGACATATGCCTGCTGGTATGGAGTAGTGAATGTACTCCTCTTTTTGCTTTGCTCACACACCTTTTTTGCTTTCCGTGTTAAACTGTCATTATCTTGATCCATGAGTCTCCTTGCATTCCTTCTGCTTTGTCCCCATCCTGCAGGAATGGGGAATGAGTGAGAGGCTGGACGGATGTTTGGCTGCTAGCCAGAGCCAACAGATCACACAGTGCCATCAGCCTTCCCCCCCTACAGTAGGGGACTTTTCTGTATTAGCAAAACTGAATTTACATTCTAAATATTACAACCCTAAAAAAGGGATAGAAATCAGAAGTGAGAAACTCTGGACTTAACATTTTGTGTTACAAAAAAATGCTGTTAGAGGGGCAGTGACATCACTGACTGCAGACCCAGAATATTAGGTATGGCTGTGGAAAACAGAGGCTTTGTTCATCTGTAAGTACGGACACTATGTTCTGCTGACTTGTCTCTAGCAGTCAGATCAAATAAGAAAGGCAAGTTAACCGTTAAGGATAATTTTCATGGTTCTTTCTGACAGGGTCTACAAAAGAAAGAGATATTTTTAAAAAAGCCCGTAAGAAGCTGGGACTTGAAGATAAATTTGATCCTACGGCACCAACACCACAGGAAATCGATCAAAAGCCTGACATCTCAGGGAAGTTCAAGGTGGCTGGCCCTTTAGAGGTTGGCAAAGATCTCAATCTAATTCTGGTTCTTGCAAACTTACAGTCTCATGCTAAGACTGTTCATGTAAATATGACTGCTTGGAGCACTGTGTACACTAGAAGACCAGTTAATGAGATCTGGAAGGACTTCATATCTGTCACTCTGTCTCCTAAGGAAGGTAATTTTTCAAATAACTTTTAATCATAATTGTATAATCATTTTATCAGTAAGTGGGCATTAGAAGCTGGTCAACTTGGGGGAAAAAGCTCTAACAAACTTCAATCTTAAATTTCTATGCAGAGAAGGCTGAAAGAAAAATGACATTGCACTTACAAACATTAAAAAGGCAGGTTTCACACCATCATTTCCTTAAGTACTATTCATATTTTGGAAAATGTATCTCAGGAGTGAAAAGAAGACGGTGAGTAAACATGAAGTTTCATTTAACAAACTTTGCATTAAAAAAGATGAGGACAGCATAAAAGTGTAGAAATCAACTCCAACTAAATGTGTTCTGGTCAGTTATGAGGTGACTTATGAAAGGTAACAGTAGAAACAAGAAATGTGACCCATTAGCACATTAGAATGGAATTAAAGTGTGAGGAATAGACATAGCTGAGATAGTCTACTAAGTTCCACAGAAAAGAAAGTTTGTATTGAGGAACTGTTTAGGAGTAAAGGACCTAAGATTTTTTTAACATTTTTTTTTCAGATGGAGTTTGATAACCTTATGGAAGAAATTCTCTACCTAAATATGAGCACAGTTGGAAAGATGAAATTAAGTTACCATTAGGAGCTGGGATAATAGATATATCAGCATCTCTAAAGTGAACTGAAAGATCTTTGACTCACAACCGATACTATAGTGTATTAATCTTCGGCTTCGAGTCACTAGTGAGAAGCAGAAATAACATTTCATTTCTTTAATATGTAATTTGACTTCTGGAGTTGGGATTTATCAGCTTCCTGTAAACTATTAGGAATTGGACTCTCAGTGAAGACAGAGTTCATATGGTGCTCACACAGGCTGTGTTAAACCAGCGGCTGATTTACAGTCAGCAGGGAGGTTTTTCCCCACATCTGATGGCAGAGACCATTTGAAGAGATTTTTGCCCTCTTCTGGAGGTACACTCCATTTGCTAGGATTTGTAGTTAACAAATCTGTTGCTGCTGGAGGAATCTATGAAATTCACATTGCCCCTGTTTTTTTTCTTACTTTTGTGGGACACTGCATTGGTGACTTGCCATCTTTTCTCGTGTTGTTCCTCTGCCATATACTGCTGGAAAGTACTTTGTGGCTTACAGTATTTGCATGTAGCATAGCCACTCTACAGTTCTTCTGAAGTTTATTGTACAAATGGCCAAAACTGTGGAACTGCCTAGATTCAGAGACAGAGGAGATCCCTTCCCATTCAGTGTTCCATGCTTTGAATTACCACATGGAAAGTACAGTAGAAACACATAATAATAAAAAGCAGATAGGACTAGAAAAGATAAAAGAAATGTAAAGACGCCATTCAGCTCATCTCAGTATATCATGAGCAAATAGGACTGATGAGGCCTATCAGAGCATGTCCCATAACAAATGGAGTGGCACTGGTAAACTCCTTAAACTCCAGCTGTCTTATCTCTCAGAGTAATTGGGAGGAAAACAAACCAGGCAATATAGTAGTAGGGAATGCAGGAGGGCTAACACTGAAGAAATCACTCTCTATAGCACAGTGATAGATTTGCATTACTTAAGTCTGGCACTGGTGGCTGATCGACTTCCTAGTCCCAGGAACAGCATAACAGGAAAACGCTAATATTAGGTATGAAACTCTGTGGGCTTATAAAAGTGTTTATTCATTCCTTTTTATTTTTCCTCATTCCAGAGAAACAATTTCCCATTAAGATACCATATACTGAATATCATCAGCAGTTAACTACAGACAATGTGATCCAGGTAACAGCTTTATGTCACGTAGAAGGTGGGATTCAAGTGCTAGTGCAAAGAGACATCACCCTGGACAACCCTGCCATTGACATAGAGGTAAATTGCTGTCCCTTTGCTCTAACTGCAGTGTCAGAGAATGGGGAAAATAGGCTCTTAATAAGTACTTTCTTCCCTAAAAGAGACATTCTGCTCATATTCTGCCATGGGCCCTACAGCATTGCATATCTCCTCTTCTGATGACTGAGAAGACTCGGGTAGAAAAGAATACCGAGAACCTGGCCTTTCAAGCATTTTCTTTGCACAGGTACTTGGTGAAGTGAAAGTGAATAAAGAAGTGGATGTGGAAGTGATATTTACCAATCCTATTGATGTGGAAGTGACGGACTGTGTGCTGCAGGTAGAAGGCAATGACCTGCTCAGAGGAATCCTTGAGATAAAGTAAGTACAAGAAATGCCTCCTTCCTGCTATTAAAGATACACGAACAAGAATGTAGGCGTGGATGACTTGGAAGCAAATAGTGGGATGAGACAGCATTTTCTTCTTGCTGTAACCTGGGAGGCCGGTCAATGTAACATCTCGCAATGATGCGCACAGCTTTGAACCAGTCTTCATATAACCTAGGCTTTGGCTCCACAGTTTGGGAGGGCAGATAATTGCTGTCATAATTGGACAGAACTTGTTTGCTTGCCTATCTAGCAGGACGCCACAGTTCCAGCAAAAAATATATGCTTACCCATGCAGTAAATTTTTCTGAGGCTGGCTGTGCTGCTACAGGCCAGACAGGTTGAACCTTCTTGTTCTGATCATAGGGCCAACAATAGGATACATGACTGCTTCTGTCCATGCTATACCCAAATTATAGTATATATTAACCAGGATTTTTTTTTTCATTTTATTGAATGTACTGCAGGTGCCAATCTAGGTGTTCAGCTTTCTATGCAATTTGCATTTACATCAAGCAGATAGACATACATGTAAAAAGCAGATGCATCAGTGTCCCAGCTTTGGGAACAAAAATGAACACAGATTATTTAGACACAGATTGTGATCTCAAAAGGTGGTATCTCTAAAAAGTACAACCTCAAGTATGCTCCATGCATACCTATTCCAGACACAATAAATCATGACTAAGGAGGATAACTTTTAAAGAACAGACTAAACCATGTCCCAGCACCTACTCCTTGGATAACTGAATTTGCTTTACTAAGGCCTGGAACTTGAGCACAGATGAAATCTATGAGGCAGGCAGGAAGAGAATAGGAAAAATGGTGACTATTACAATAAAAGTTTGGTTTGTGTTCTTCAGTTAAAAAAAAAAAAAATGTTTTTCCAAAATAAAAACTACAGGCACACTGATTTTCAGGCTCTGCTTTCAGAACTCTACAAAATAATTGTGTTAGGAGATTAATAAACAGAGTTAAGAAATTATTAGATGGTGCCGAGATGGTGAATGAGAAGACTGGAATAAAGTAGGTTCCTTTTATGATAGATCCCAGGTTCCTATTTTTATGCTTTGCTGGTTTTGTGTCATGCACTTTTTCCTTCAGTATTTCACAACTGAAACAGAAAGGTTAAATTTTCAGACTGTCCCCTACTTTGTACATATACAAAATTGCACACAAATTTCAACATATGTTAGCAAATGCCGTTATTTATAAAATATACCTGGGGTATGGGAGCGTGCACTTTAACTGAATATGCACAGACACACAGAGCAAAAACCAAACACACACAGCAACTTAACATTGCCATATGTGCTTGAGCAACTAATAATGGTCTATCCCATAATTTATAAGCTCTCCTGAGGGAATTTAGCAACCCCATGTTGTCTATCACATACAACTTTATCCTCAGGCAAGACAAGACAACATGACAGGGTAAGGCTGTTTCGAAAATCTATAAACATGAGTTTCCAAGAATTACAAAATATGCTAATACAAAACATTTTAACTTTCATTCAGAATTTCCTGCTGTGTAAACACTGAGGTTTTCTTGGTGCTATAATCTATTTGAATTCAGGAGTTTGTACGAACATGCTTCACGGTCTCAGATTTTTTTTTTATTTTTTTTTTAAGAATTCAGTGATACTAGTATGTCCCCCTTTGTGTGCTTGTCTAGTTCACTGCAAAATGTATTTGTGAGTGACCTTAATGCATGGGTTTAAGTATTTAAATACCTATCAGAAAGCCAAGTCCTATATGGTCTTTTCATGGCCATCCTACACTGAACTGATAGGAATTCTTACTTAAGATAGGAGATGGTTAGTGAATAACTCAAGTACGATGTATAAGCCTGTTTTCCGCTTATATTTTTTCCCTTTGTTTCCTATTTTTAGCGTACCACCACTGAAAGCCAGTGAGAAATCCAGTACAAAGTTTACACTTACCCCTTTTGAGACGGGTCCCAAACATCTACTAGTTAATTTCTCCTGTGATAAATTTGCAGATATCAAGACCTTTAAGATGATAAATGTGATCAACTAACATGAAGATATGCAATGAATGGTCTGTGTGTGTATAAATTGAACAAAATGTCATAAGAAATCTTGTATAAGAAAACAATGAGAAAATTAGCAAAACAAAATCCTCATTTCCTGTGACAAGGGGTTACCAATAAAATTTCACATGGTAATTTTAAATAAACTGGGGAATAGCTGATTCTTCATTTACTGTTGTGAGCATCCATGTTATTAAAAAGAGCATCTTACCTTCTGTTCGGAAACTGTTTGTTTGATTTTTGCCTGGTTTTCTTTAGAAAACATTCTTTCTGGCTCCAGATGTCTCTACACAAGCATTAATAAACTCATTTTTATACATACAGAGCCCTGCCCTATACTGTGGACTTTCAAACTGGTGTTTCTCGTTACTGCAACTGTGACACTAGAAAGTGGCCAGGATGAGTTGCACGATTTATGTCATTTAGTTTTGTCTTTTTCCTGCAAAGTCTGTCTGGAAATTTTTACTGTTTTGGTAAATCACAGTGACCAAATGAGGCACAGGAAAAGCTCAAAAGCAATTTGGGTGGTGTCCACCATTTCACAAACACGTTGAGAACACTGCCCAGCTCAACATACATGATATTTTTGCATGCTGATATTTTGCGCTTGCTGAAAGTCTTCTTTGGCAACCAAAGGGAGAGTAGTCTTAAGTCTAAGGGTATTTTAACTTGAGAAGAGTCAGGAAGTCATCTTTCAGAGTTCAAGTTCAGTAAAGCTTACTTAAACCCTTTATGGGAGGATAGGCACAGGCCAAAAAACTGAGTTCCAGGAACAAGTGAACAAGGTGTAGCCCAGTGAGTGACTTGGTTTATGGCCAATAATTGTACATCAGTAAGTCATTCTCTGACTGAAAATGATCTGTATAGATGAATTGGGTGGAAAGACAAGCTGCTGCTCTATTGCACTTTAGACTGCTGGGCCAGGAAGCCAGGAAAATCTTACCGAGTGCCTGGAGCCAGCTCCTGTGCCCCCACTTCTACCAGATAGCACAAGGTACCTGTGATTTGCCATAGGGACTCCTCACTGTTACATGAGCAGCCCAAGCTCAGATTAGCTATAAACCCCTTTTGTCCTTGTAGCCTGCAAAATTGCTTTAGGAGGCCACTTGCAGCCAGCTAGTTTTCCACTGCCACTTACATGGAGTGACTGGCACTCTCTGTCCACCTACTGGACAAATAATGAGACGAGCTACAGAGGGACTGTACAAGTAACCCACAGTGGTACCCTTTTTTTCTCCTGATGTTCCTCAAGGCTTGCCAGAGCCAAGAGCTCTCATCATGTAGACCAAACAGTAGAAGCTCAAGCTCAAGCATAGCCTTGGATTTAGAGTGTGGATATACAGTTAATGGCTTCTTTTTACATCTCTTGTATGCATGAAAACAACCAGACCATGCTAAACTCAAATGAATTGCACTAGCAGAAATTAAAGAAGATTACAAATTGGACCTCTATGGGAATTAAAAGGAAGGCAACAGCCTTCACCCACCACATTTCGCATGCACATGAAGTTAATGTGTCTAATTAAATATGTGCCTACTTGGATACAGGTAGGGATCCTGCAACATTTTTTGTGGAAGTTACATTGATGTCCTCTTTCTAGTAAAGAGCAGCAACAATACAAGTGTAAGTTGCAATACGGCTACCGTGAGGATATGACAGTGCAATACATGAACAACAGACAAAATTATTAAGGAGATGAAAGAAATAAAAGAGTACATTTTTCTCTGAAAGTTAGCAAGCTGCACTGCAATTTCAAGGCTCTGAAACAGGGGAGAAGGAGGAACAAAATATTTTGAACCATTTTGGATAATGGGTGGGTGGAATTGAACTAGGAAAAACACCTGCAACAACGTTGTCATTAGTCACTTAGCCATGACCACTGCATTCCAAGGGGATTACAAAAGCAGCTGCTGATGCTTTGCTGTGGTGAAGGGGTGGGCTGGCAGGTGCCAGTTTGGGATGTAGGCCAGTTAGAGAGAGGTTCTGGTGGCTTGGTGAACACCACTGTGGGCATGTCATACAGAGGTAAAAGAGGTGGATGCAGCCAAGACAGAAAAAGTGTTCTGAGATTTAATTACTTGTGTGAGTAACAAGGAAGAAGAAAGGAAATACTCCAGTGGGAGCAATGTGTAACGTCTGAAGCAATCACTATAAGTACTGAACACCTGAACTTAAGAACTGGTCGATGCGGTTTGTCACTAGGACTGTGTGTGAAGATCAGGTAACATCAGAGGCTTGTGGCTCTTATGGTTTCCAAGGAATACGAATTAAAGAAAAGAGAAAAAGACCAACTAAAGTAGCTCTGAACAGCAATCAAATCCATTTGAGGCAATTCCCGGAAGAAGTTTTGACAGCCTGAACATCCTGGAAACTTCCAAGAGGAGGAAGGACCTCTGAATTATAATGTAAGTGGAGATACACCATACCAGATATACTGCTATCAAGTGTGGAAAATTTTTAGTGTTTTTCTTTCAGGATAGGGTTAGCATGAACGTCATATAAGTACTCTTTTAGTGTCTGTGGTATCAAAACAAAGGTTCTCAGAAAGGTGCAAGAAGCCAAGTTTTTGGTAAAAATCAACCTTAGAAACAGCTGTTGGAGCTTAATTTCTGCTTCTTTTTTCAGTTCTTTTTTACTTTGTAAGTTAAAATTAAGACTAACTTATTTTTTACGTCTTTACTGAGCGTTAAAACACGATCAGAAGAGCTGCAGAACCTTAAACAGATAAGTATTCCTCTCCACAACAATGTTACTGTATTACCTGTACACTTTTAAGCGAGGGTACAAAAATAAAAAGAAACATATTCGCAGTTGTGAAGACAGACAGGCTTAGAGTTTGCACGGATAAAAACTACTCAAGACTAATAGTTTGGAGGTTCTTTTTGAAATAAAACTTTTCCTGAAATAGTAGTATGGAGCTGGCTAACATAGCAGGCAAACAGACATTTGTTTCTGGTGGGAGTTTATCATTTCACATAAGTCGGGGGCGTTGGAGATAATTTGAGACCCAAAAACCCTCTAAAACCAACTCACAGCTGTTGAACAACACCTTTTTCCTTCATACGGCTTTTGTGTCCCACCACACTCCCCATTTCCTCATCCTTAAAGATAACTTATTCATGGCACACCTATTATTCTTTGTAGGAAGTTCTTCTTGGTCTTGGGATTCAAGAGAATGCATTTCCTCTGAGTAAATAATTTTGGTATCTCCTCCCATAATTACACCCACGTCGAGTAGGAACATTGGCATTAGACATACATATATTATAGGAACCAGTTAATTCATTTGACAAGTCTATAGGTATTAATAACAACTGTTAAGTACCTCTCCCTTCTCTCCAATTTCAGTTGACAGCACGAGAAGATTGCTGGGTTTTTTCTTTTTATGATTAATGTGACTTGGACATCTTTGAAGAACAAAGTAGAAGGTGTATGCAATTCTCATAAGCTGAGGGAATGGCAGGTGAGTTCTGCGTGTCATTTGCTTCCCTTCAGCAGGTACTTTATTCAGGACTGCTTCCTTAAGATACGTGCTCTCTAGGTATCTGCTTGGCTTTCTTATCTGAAGGAAATTTTATATTGTCATTTGTTCTCACACTTCATTTTCAAAGTTTTATTTTTGTTATTATTAATACCTGTTTGAGAATAGTTTTTGAGCTAGGCAGACGATATTTTTGGGGGAAAAAAAGAAAATAAATTCCCATTAGTTGAGAAGGCACCATGCAGAACTCCACCTAAACCCTTCATTTTTTAAACGCTATTTCAGAGATGTACTATGCTTTGTATTAACAAAATTAGTGCAATCCATCCTAACTGAGCTGTGAGCATGGAGCCTATAGATGGAAATTCAAAGATGCATTAAAACCCTGCCAAAGCAAAACAGTAATGACAATATCTCTGCTTTTTACAGTTTAAAATGAAGATGATTATTGAACTGGGGAATTTCAAAGCAGGGTTCTCCATTGTTTAATGATGAAACAAGCATTTTCAAACCAGTTCTTAAAATGTTGCTTTGCAGGGAAAGCAGCAGCCTACTGCAGTTCACCTTTGTCCCACATACTCATGCTAAAGGTTCTCTTTTTCAGCCCATCAGTGCTTACTCACATTGCTTCTTTGTGGTCTTAAACTAAAAGAAAAAAGTCTTCTTCCTTGAATTTAATTATGGCACTTTTTTTGCATAAGTTAGATTTTGCTTTTACTTCTTCAAAGATTATATGCAAATTGTAGTTTAATATGCAGCTATATTATTTCAGATCTGACTTATTATTTCATTGCTATACTACATGGTATGAGATAGACTTGGAAGCTTGTTTGAGGATCCCTATCATAATAGTTCATAATGCGATAGGCCTTAATGCATCCTTTCCACCTCACTCTTTCTTGTTGTTATTGTTTTCTTTTGAGTTCCCTTTAAAATGGTGGCTTGTCATGCTCCCCCCCATCCTGTGTCCATGTTCCCTCCCCCAAACTCATTGCATTTATGATACTATCATTAATAAAAGTGATTTGGAAGAATCTTCACCAAGGTACTTGCCCTGAGCATTTGTCAAAATTCACAGTACATTACTCCATGTGTATTCTGTGCCATCTCATAGGGCAGATACAAACACAGAGGACGGTGCCTCTCAGACCTCCCAAAGACAGTATAGCTGCTCAAGTTTGAGCATGGCAATACAGCATGAACTATAGAAGGGAAAACAATCTTGCAAGGAAGATCATATACGTACTTGTTTGTCAAAATGGTAGTTTAGCATTTAAGGTAGCAAGAGCCACTTTATGGGTTTTAAACCACAGACCATGATAACAGTATATGTGCAGGAGGACACTTAATATCGGAGAAGTCCAAGCACACTAAGCCATCTGAATTCCTCTAGAACATGAAGGTAGTGCCTACTAGAACAGGAATTCCAGTGGTCCAGTTATCACTTTGGAAAGAGCTAAATTCAGTCGGGTGGATTTCTTTGTCAAAAGCTCCAAAGTAAGTCC